CCTTTTTTGTTCGCCTTGGTGATGGACGTCCTAACTCAAGGTGTGCAAGAAGGGGTCCCATGGTGCATGCTTTTCGCGGATGATATTGTGCTTATCGACGATACACGTGAGGGACTAAACGAGAAGTTGGAACAATGGCGCCTTGCCCTTGAGACTAAAGGGTTCAGAATAAGTAGGAACAAGACTGAATACATGGAGTGTCGTTTCAGCGGCAGAGAAACAGAATCAGAGGTGGAAGTTAGGATTGACTCTCACCTAGTACCTAAGGTAGACAGGTTTCGATATCTTGGATCGGTAATCCAGGCTGATGGGGAGTTAGACGGGGATGTTGGACATCGTGTTGGAGTAGCTTGGGCCAAATGGCGGTTGGCTTCAGGGGTATTGTGTGACCCGAAGATTTCGCCCAGGATGAAAGGCAAGTTCTACCGATCCGTAGTCAGACCTGCTATGTTATATGGGGCAGAGTGTTGGGCGGTTAAGAAGACTCATGTGCGTCGTCTGCATGCGGCAGAGATGCGGATGTTACGATGGATGTGTGGGAAGACAAGGTTGGATAGGATTTCGAACGAAGTTATTCGACGTCAGGTAGGCATGGCGCCGGTGGAAGATAAATTGCAGGAAGCGAGGTTGAGATGGTTTGGTCATGTGAGACGGCGGGATGCTGACGCCCCTGTACGGAGATGCGAGCGGATTACGGTTTTCGGGGGAAGTAGGGGAAGGGGTAGACCTAAGAAGAATTGGAAGGAAGTGATTAGACAGGATTTAGGACTTCTCACCCTGACTGAGGATATGGCTTTAGATAGGAATCTTTGGAGAACTAGGATTAGAGTAGCTGGTTAGGAACTCGGTGCTATAGAGGTTTTTTGTAGTGTGTTGTGTTTGATTGGAATCTTCTATTAATGCTTGTAGAACTTTCTTTTCATTGTACTTGGTGTTTTATCCATGCTATACTGTATACCCTATCATTTTTTGTGCAGGTTGAGCCGGGGGTCTCTTGGAAACAGCCTCCCTGCTTCCAAGTAGGGGCAAGGTCTGCGTACACACACCCTCCCCGGACCCTACTGTAGTGGGATCCAACTGGGTTGTTGTTGTATTTCCTAATAATGTGTTTGCTTTTTGTATTAGGTAATCTAGTAATCCTACTCGAAAGTAGAGAGACTATTTCCAAGACACCCCCAGAGAACTCTCATAAGATAATATAGGATCACAGAAGACCCATAAAGCACATAAAGCATGGGAAGCACAAAGCACGAGGGGGGTGGGGGGAAGTGCAAACTAATGTTAAAGAAGAAAAAGAAAGAAGCACAGAAGCAAAGTACCGGGAGCAGAAAGCACCAAGCATACAAAGCACACAACTACAAGTACAAAAACTATCACCTCACCTAAAGGCTAAAGCACCTACTCAGCTACCTTAATCCTAGCTCTTCAAAGACTTCTATCTAAGGCCATCTCCTCAGTAAGGGCTACAAGTCCTAGGTCTAATCACCATCTTCCTGTTCATCTTAGATCTACCCCTTCCCCTACTCCTACCCACCAATGAAAGCCTCTCACATCTCTACACTGAAGAGTCAGCGCTCCGCCTCACATACCCAAACCACTTCATTCTAGCTTCTTGTAATTTATCTTTCACATGGGCCACGCCTACGCGTCCTCTGGTAACCTCGTTCCGAATCCTATCTATCCTTTTGTGGCCACACATCCACCACAACATCCGCATCTCAGCAGCATGCAGTTGACAAACGTGGGTTTTCTTAACTGTCCAGCACTCCGCGTCATGCAGCATGGCTGGTCTAACTACGGCTCGATAGAACTTACCTTTCATTCTAAGAGAAATCTTCTTGTGGCACAGAACCCTTAAAGCCAGCCTCGACTTGGCAGAAGCCGCTCTAACACGATGCGCTATTTTGTCGTCGAACTACCTATCTGCCTCGATTATTGAGCCGAGATATCAAAACTTGTCTACCTTAGCCACATGATGGAATCAATCCTAACTTCCACCTTTAATTCCGTCTCCCAGCCACTGAAATAACACTCTAGGTATTCAGCCTTGGTTCTACTCAGTCTAAATCCTATCCTTTGGACTCCAGGGAAAGGTGCCAAAGTTCCAACTTGTCGTTTAGTCCCTCATGAGTGTCGTCAAAGCATGCACTAAGAGACCTATTCGTCAGAATAGGATATCTAGTAAACTTGGTGACTTTATGTTCACAGCTCACCATTCCGTTATGAGGCGAACCCACCAAGACGTAAGAGACTATGAGTTTGATTTTGAAAACTTTCCTGCTATTTCTTTGTGATAGTGGTAGTTGCAGTGGAGGGAGTGGTTAGGCTATTGACATCAGTGTTTTAAGGCCAGTAATATTTGAGCAGATACGGAGAGTAAGAAATAGTGGAATATGGGCAAACTGTGACACATCTTTGAGGAGGGTTGCGAGGGGAGAGAGAGAGAGAGAGAGAGAGAGAGAGAGAGTTGATTTAAAGTTTAGTGTTAGGAATTTTAAAATCGTGTTTAGGGATAGGGGTTATATTGGGATCAGAAGCATAGAGTTTGCCTCAAATCCCAAATTTAATAAGGGATTCTGTTTGATAAAATTTAGGATTGGGTAAGGATTACTGGATTTGGCCATAAGGCACTTGGGCTGAACCACATTAAAAGATTGAATCCAATCGATTAGTTAGTTCAACTCAAGAGCTTATATACCAATTATTTTACTCTTGAACTTCCGATGTGGGATGCACTTTAACACTATCTCTCAAGTGGACAACCGGGCCATTTTCAATATAACCGGTTGACCACTTGCAAATGAACTAACATTCCCTTGATTGTTTTTTGAGCGCCAACACCTAAAGGACCACGAGCCGCTGGGAATGGACTTCCAGACGAGCAATCGTGTTAACGGGTCATAGGCCGTTGGGTACATACTCCATACGGACAACTGGGCTAACTAACGGGCCGCTAGGAATGAACGTCTAGACGGACACCTTGACAAACGAGGTGGGCCAAAACCTGCTCTGATACCATGATAAAATTTAGGATTGGGTAAGGATTACTGGATTTGGCCATAAGGCATTTGGGCTGAGCCACATTAAAAGATTGAATTCAATCGATTAGTTAGTTCAACTCAAGAGCTTATATACCGATTATTTTACTCTTGAACTTCTGATGTGGGATGCACTTTAACAAAGATATCCAAACATAATGGAAAGCAGTTGGTGTTGTAATTTTTTCAGATTCTAAGTATCTGTGGTTCGGATACTTAGAATCAGCTGAAAGTAGTTGGTGTTGTAATTTTTTCAGATTCTAAGTAGAATTAGCTACTGCTCACCACAACGTGATTCTTAGAAGCAACCAAATACTTATTCTCCTGAATCAGCTAATTCGTGTATAGCTAGTTGTAAGAATCAAAATTGGCCAAAAGAATAAATAAAACGAAATAAGTCCACAATTATAATTTTATCTCAGAAAAAATTTAGAGACAAATGACCTGAATAGTGACTACATTCTCTATAAACTCATTTTGCTTCTCGACAATCTCCTGTATAATAACTCGCTGCCCACTGCATTCACAACATAAATCAGTAAAAAGAGTGGTGCCAAATACGTGTAAATGACGTCAAGCGTATTAAGCTTCATTCATATCACTGCTCCCTATCTATGCTTCAGTATTATGATCCTTATGAGGTCAAATACAAAGTTTAAAAACAAAATAGTGGTAAAACTTTTTGGATAAGTATATATTACATCATATCAAACATTAGAAGTAGTATTTCATGATGATTGTACTATTTATCCAAGTGAAATAAATCATCACCAAAAGACTTTAAACATAAGAGATGCAACTGTTTTACCTGTGGAGCCAAGTCTTATAATACAACTCCTCAAGGGGCTGAAATCCTGCACGAACGTTAAAATACAAAAGCACAACCATGATCAACATGATGAACACGCAAAAGGTATAGGACCAAAAGGACATGATTGAATAGCAACCATGCGAGCCTACAATTCCCAGCACAAACTGATTTTAGGAACAGTTATATACAGAGGCAGATACAAGAATCGGGAAACATGGGGTCCCGTTTCTTAAATTGTAAACATACATTTATACTACGTAATTATTCACACGCTACAAAAAATAAACTAAAAAATCTACATTCAAATGAACATTCAAAATATGATTCTCAAATGGATTTTTCAAAGTCATAACTTCTACATCTGACAATTTTTAAGATAAATTTTACTAATTGGATATAATAATTTTTTTGTCAAAAGCATCAAATTAGAACAAAGGATTTAGACATATCCATAATCCTTATTTATCACACTTTAAAAATGGAAGTAAATTGTAAAAAGAATACAAATAAAATGAAAAATAGATTTGTTTAAGTATTTTTTAGGGAAAAAATACTTGTAAAAAGACCAGTAAAAATGGTAAACTCTTTACATACTCTATACCCAAAATTTTGTGAATAACCGCAAAGAGTACCTGTTTGAAGTTTTAATGTTTTACATTCAAAATAAATTTAAACTTCGAAGTATGTTTTTTAAGTTTTCTTGAAACAATGGAGAATGAGATGAACATTGTATTTCTTGTGTATTATTGTACTAAAGTATGAGGATAGAGCTGATTTTAATAGATTGGAGGTTCTCATTTCATTATCCAACTCCAATAATATATTTTGCATTAAAAATGTTTTTAGAGTAATTGAGGATAAAAGTAAGGAGCATAAAAAAATACAAGTATAGAAGAGATCAGAATCGAACTGTGGATCTCTGCTCTAAGTATTCAGCGACGCTTCCACTATACTATTTCGCGAGTTGTTTACAACTAGGCTTTGATTGTTTATATACTAAAACAATGAGGGTACCTAATATATATATATATATAAGATCCTATGTGGAGGTCCGTGGGGTCCCGGGACCCGTGGGACTCAATGTGGGTCTACCTTTGGTTATATAATGACATCTTTGAGTGAACACCATCATGACCTTGTTGACCTATGCATAATGCATGTGTCATTAGTGATGTTGAGTTTATAAAACGTGTTATATAATTAATTCCTAACAAAAACAGTAAGTTATGTTGAGTGTATAAAGTGTGTACTATGATGCTTCCAAAGTGTGCTTGTTGACCTATGCATGTGTCATTAGTAATCTATTCTAGATCACAACAACAAACTTAGACACCTAGTGTAATCTCACAAGTGGTGTCTAAGGAGGGTAAGACGCATGCCTTACTTACACCCAATAAACAACTACCCGTACCCTTAAAACCACTGAACATGAGAGAATGAGATGGAAGGACTAACCAATGTTCGAAATGGCGTATTGCGGTTTCGAGGCGTTTTTTTCATGGCGTATTGTGTAAGCCTCAAGGCGTTTTGAGGCATAAGCCTCAATTTTTTAAATTGAAAAATGTCCATAAAACATTTTAGAAACTGAAGATAGAACATAATGTATGACATAAATAATCCAGAAACATTAAAAAAGTATATTGTCAAAGTAATATATCTCAAACACAACAAAGTCTAACATGGAATAAGACAAAATATTGGCCAAAGTGATGAACTTAAATTGAAGAATTGAAAAAAACTTCATCAGTGTCCAATGGCTTGAAACAAAAAAAACACCAATTAAACTACCAGCGGTAAGCAAAGCCGTAAGCAAGAAAATTGAATACTCCGCCATAAAACCATAAGCAAGAAAAAAACCAATTAAATAAATTTAGCAAGAAAATAATTTACCTTATAAATCACCCAGTTGTAAGCCATCATCCATTCGTACACCTTTTGCCGGAAAAAAAAAAGAGTAATCGTACCTGCTGTTGAATCGCGATGGAGACGAAAAATAGAGAAGCAAAGAGGGTCAACGCTATGAAGAAGATGAATCACAGGTTGGTAATCGCAGAAATTAGGGTCGCAATTAAGGTCATCGACAAGGTAATTTTAAAATATGTACACTTAATTTGGGTAATTGACAACTTTAACCTTTGATTTTCTCATTTTTAGACGGTAAATGGCGTATGCCTCATTACGTGCACCAATGCGTACGCCCCATGGCGTAAGCGTTTAAGCCAATTGCTAAAAATGGCTAATTGCGTGAATCAGGATACGCACCAGGGCGGTAATTTCCGAAAAAGTTCTATGGCGGCGCGCCTTGAGGCAGGTTTAGGTTTTGCCATCTCAAACCAGTGTGACACATACTCATAGTTGTTACGGCGGCAAGGCAAGGCTGGGCGCTAGAGTACCTTCCAATAACCTAGGCGATTAGGCGCCCGCCTAGACGTCCGCTGGCGGAGTGGGCTCTGGCGACCTTAATAATTTTATTGATATTGATGTAAAAGCATATACGATGAAATAATTAATTTTATAGGTATGAAATGCATTACTTAGTATATACTTTGTAGAAAACAAGAATAGATAACATATTACTCTATATATAAATATATATATATAAATATATATATATATATAAAGTAGATTTCCTTAAAAAAACTCCATAGAACACATATTCCGTATGTTTCACTCACAAAAAAATTAAAAATAAAAAAATGAAACACTTTATTGCGAAGAAGAGTCACCTAGTCTGTTGCAAGTCAAAACCTAAGGGATTTCCGTCAAAACCGAAGGGTCACGTAGATCCGGACAATTCAGGATCGCTGATCAAAACCTAAGGGATCTCCGTCGATCGCGATCCAATAGATATTACGACCTCACGATCTAAATCGCAGGTCCAGACAATTCATATGGACTTCCAATCTTCCTTGCGATTCAGATCTCAAATCGACGCCAAATAGATGCCAAACCAATGCCAAACAGACGCCAAACTGAAGCCTCAGTTGCCCAAAGAAGAAAAGGCTAGGCGACCAATTGGGCGTTCACAATACCTCGCCCAGACGCCTAAGTGTCGCCTAGGCGACGCCTTGATTACTATGCACAGACTAAACAACCAACAACCCGCCCATCATAATCTACTACAACAACTCTATATCCATGGTCATGTCCTCGGTCCACTTGAGTTCAGCCATGTCTTGTCTATTAACATCTTCGTTCTGCTTTGGCCTACTTCTAGCTCTTGTAAATCACGCAATTGTTAATCTCGCCCCACTAAAAGGCACATCCTCGCCTCTCCACTTCACATAGCGAACCATTGCAGTGTCGTTTATGTTATCTTATCCACGACCTAAGTTGCATTGGGACGGGTGCAGGTACATATACGGGGAGGGAAACGGAAATCGGCATTTTTAAAAATTACAGGATGCGGGAACAGGAAGATTCAGAAACAAAAAAAATTAAAATATTAAATATAGGAGTGTAAATGTAAAAAATAATAATCTACTTAATTAGCATAAAGCAATCCAATAACGTACTTAATCAGCATAAAAAGTAAAACGAAGTACTTGTAATATCAAAATTATCATGTTTGGAAATATAAAAAACAATTGAACTTAATTTTTGGAATCCCTCATTGTCAACACCCTCCTTAATCAAAACATTTTCCAACTCGGATTCATTCAAGGAGAATTCTGCAACCACTAACAATCCGGATATCAAAAGAGTCAAATGTGTCTCCACCCTATCCCACATCTTTGAATTTTCTTCTTTGTATTGACCAGAACTTCTTGATAAAAGATGTATATTGTTATGAACAAAAACCAAATTTTCAGCACGACTTGGATTTAACATATTTCTCCTTAATGAGTGAATAAAAAAGTATGTACTCCAATTTTGTTCACAACATGATGAAGATTGAAGATGATGGCTGCCCAAGCATCTTAAATGCTAAAGATTGTGGGTGAGGAGCTTCACCACCAAAGTTAGCCCATCAGCTCCTAAGATTAGGAGGTGCATCTCATTGAAAGAGATGTTAAATCTTCAAAGAGTTCACTCTTCAATGAAATTTGTGCATATTCTTCAAGAACTTTATTATACTCCTCGTTATTCGAAAACAACCTACAAAAACATTTCATTTTCTTGAAATTTTAAGATATCGATAAGAAGCTATTCTATTGGAATCTACATTCAATCATCCATAGCTATAAAATCTTTAAGTTGTAACATGATATTAAAAGGTAGCACATGTCAATAAAAAAAATAAGGTGTAGTAAGAAATAATAAACTTAAATAACACCTTGGAGTTAATGAGTTAGCTAGACAATGAAGTGGAGTAGTACTCTTTGTCCAACGAACGATCAAAATATCATAAACCACATCATACAATGGACTAAAATCTATAAAAGGACGATCTTTTTTTATGAATTGCATGCTTAACCCTCTTAATCATAGAATCCCACATCTCATAAACTAAATGAAGACATGGTTTATCAGTATCGCACCTTTTTATCATCTCATAAATAAGATTTGTGAACTGAATAATGTATTCCTCTTTATCCCACCGTTCATCACTTGAAACTTTTTTCCTTCACAAAACTTGCAGTCTCTGAGTTGTCCTCTTTGAATGAAATTCATCCATCACTTATAACCATTGATTGAAGAACTCGTCTAATTAGTTCAAACCTCTTCAACATCACAATAATTGATGCAAAACAAGTATCAACAACTGAAAGTAATTGAAGAGGCAAATCGAGTGAAGATGGCAAGTTTCATATTGTTATTCATGATAATAAAAAAAACTATGAACGACATCATAATGAACTTCAATGATCTAACTACACTGACCCTGTGTGGTATCATTGTCATCTACATTCTTAGCCGCGCAAATAATCTTCAAAGCAAAATTAAGTGTGTGGACAACACACGAAGCCAATAAAGTTGAGGGTACATGCTTTCAATAATCGCTCTATGCCCTTTGCAACTAGCCGCATTGTCGGTTACAATTTGGACCACATTTTGATGTCACACTTCATCAATGACTTCTTTCGTATGTTGTGTAATGAA